CACAGTACTGGAAGTCCTAGACACAGCCATCAGACAGGAGGAAAACATAAAAGGCATCCAAATTGTAATGGAAGAAGTAAAACTATCATTATTTGCAGATGACATGATACCATACAGAGAGAACTCTAAAGATTCCACCAAAAAACTACTAGAACTGATCAATGAATTCGGTAAAGTAGCAGGATACAAAGTTAACACCCAGAAATTGATGGCATTTCTATACACCAGTAATGAACTGTAAGAAAGGGAAACTAAGAAAACAATCCCATTCACAATTGCTTCAAAAAGAATAAAATAAGATTAACCAAAGAATTTATATGCATTTCTGTGAAACCCACAGACACAGACAATGGTGTGGTGAAGGCCTGGGGCGAGGGGTGGGTGTGGGGTAGAAGGGGTCAATGAGGAAAAAGGGGGACATCTGTAGTACTTTCATCAATAAAGATAATTTTTTAAAAAATAGCAAAATACCTAGGAGTAAATTTAACCAAGGATGTAAAAGACCTGTACTCAGAAAATTATAAGACACTGAAAAAATTGAACATGATACAGATAAGTGGAAGAAGATACCATGTTGATGGGTTGGAAGAATTAACATCATTAAAATGCCCATACTACCCAAAGAAATCTATGGATTCCATGCAGTTCTTATCAAGATATGAATAGCGTATTTCACAGAACTAGAATAAATATTTTGAAAATATATATGGAACTACAAAAGACACCAAATAGCCACAGCAATCTGAGAAAGAAGAACAGAGTTGGAGGAGTCACACTACCTAATATCAAACTATATTACAAGTCTATAGTAATCAAAACAACCTGGTACTGGCATGAAAACAGACATATAACTAAATGGAACAGCATAGAGAACAGAGAAATAAACCCACACCTTTATAGTCAATTAATAATTAAAAAAGGAGGCAAAAACATGCAATGGGGTAATGACAGTCTATTCAGTAAATGGTGTTGGGTGTATTGGACAGGTACATGCAAAAAAATTAAACTAGGCCACCTTCTTACACCATGTACAAGAATAAACTCAAAATGGATTAAAGACTTAAATGTTAGACTTGAAACCATAAAAAACCTAGAAGAAAACATTGGCAGTAAAATCTCGGACATTTCTTGTAGCAATTATTTTTTTTAATATAGTGCCCTGGGCTATGAAAACACACACACAAAAATAAACGGATCAGACTACATCAAATTGGAGTTTTTGCACAGCAAAGGAAACCATCAACAAAATAAAAAAACAACCCACTGCATGGGAGAACATATTTACCATTGATATATCTGATAAGGGATTAATATCCAAAATTTATAAAGAACTTATAAAACTCAACACCAAAAAAACAAACAATCCCATTAACAAATAGGTAAAGGATCTGAATAGATACTTCTCCGAAGAGGACATGCAGATGCCAATAGACATATGAAAAAATGCTCGTCACTAATCCTCAGAGAGATGCAAATAAAAACCACAATAAGATATCACCTCACACCTGCCAGAATGGCTCCATCAACAAGTCAGTAAACAACAAGTGCTGGTGAGGGTGTGGGGAAGGGGACCCTGTCTTACTATTGGTGGGAATGCAGACTGGAGCAGCCACTGTGGAAAGCTGTGTGGAGTTTCCTCAAAAAATAAAAATAGAGCTGCCTCATGACCCAGTGACCCCAAATGGACTAGTACTCAGCTGTAAAAGGAGATTTTACTCTTTGGCACAGCATGGAGGGACCGAGACAGCGTCATGTCAGGTGAAATAAGCCAGGCAGAGAAAGACAAGTAGCATGAGTTCACTCGTATGTGGAATCTAATGAACAAAATGAACTTTTGACAGCTTCAAAGGTGGGACTGGGTGGGGGTTGTGGAGGAATTGAGGGGGAAAAAAGAGAAAAAAACTCGTGGACAGGGAC